GAAGAGGGTAGCGGTTCGGTGGCGGTAAGAATGATTTTTAAACATAATTTTCTAAAACGTATAATGAAAACTGAAAGCGACTGTTTGTTTTACAAAGTTTTTGAAATATTTAACAATTTCATAGTTATTGTAGACAACGTAGTACGCAGTGCATTAGAATTTTTAAGACTAAATCTATTACACTGATTTTAGACTTATTAGTGTTAACACAAGTCATATAGTAACCCTAATAATAGATCGATACACTGAACTGTATTTATGGCGTTTCTGACAAGGGCCATCTTAAATTTCGTTTTGCATAATATTTTAAACCTGTTTAGAGCTTAAGATAGAGAGGTTAATCTTTAATGAAATTTTATATAGTTTTAAGAAGTCGCTTACATTTAATAAAAGAACAAAGAGGTCGCCTCGGTTTCGGAAGCATGGTGATACTGGGGGTGAAAAACCTTTTTCTGTATTGTAACAAGCTTTCTAAATTGTAAACTTACCCAAAGTGAATCCCGACCAAAATAAAGTTTGTGTATTGCTGTGAGTTTTAACAATATTAATAACTTAGTAATGATTTTAATAGTTATTGTCAGTAAACTGTAACAAAGAAAAAAATTAACAATATAGTTGAGGTTTTGTAAGAAGTACAAATGTTTGGGGAAAAATCTTTTATGGTATGTGAACCATGTTTTTAAAATAGAATAATAAATTACATCATTGTAATAGCAAGAAAAAACTATTTATTCTAGGAAATATAAGTAAGCTACTGTAAATAAAAGTAACATTTAATTCTTAAAACAATGTTAAAAAAATTGTCTTTTAGCACAAATTTCTAATAAGGTGATTATCAGAAATGACCATCAAATTTGATTTTAATTTTCTAGAGTAACTGTTTAAATACTGTTTCTGTGCTGGAAAATGTGTATAATATTACATTTACCAATATAACAGCAAAATAATGAAAACCAATTGCATATTAGGCCAAGTAATAAAAAAAAACATGTTTAGCATTTGGAGTTTATGAAAAAAGGGAGTATTTTTTTAATGACCTCTTTGAATGAAAGTTTGCACCCTTTTTTTCATGATTTTTGCTTGTTTTCAAAGGGTCCTTGTCAAACATGGCAAAGTAGTAATAAAAAATGCAAAACTGTAACTTTAGATGCATCTCCCAAATTTAGTGAAGATACATCAACAGGTGGCAAATTAGTGGTAGAAAATGCAAAAAGGCCCATAAAAACTGTAAAATGCAAAACTTAAAATTTGTATGGATCTCCTCATGGACCCTATGAACCTCTATACCAAATTTGGTGAAGATCCATCTACAGGGGGCAAAGTAGTGGTAAAAATATGTAAAAATGTCCATAAAAACTGCAAAATTTACTCATCTAGTCTTAATAGTGGAAATTATACTGTTCAAAGTTTGTTTTGCTTCATTCTATGAACATTACCAGTGTGTTGTTAGTGGTGTTCTCATAGAGTGTAAATATATTGCTCAGTCCCCTGATGTAAACTTGAATCACAGTCTTATCTAGGCTAGATAATGGATGGAAAATGTCATTTTTCACGGCGACATCAAGGTGGTAACTTTTGATGAAATATTTGTAGTCTTGTCTCTTGCCTTTTTTTTTTATTTATTCTGGATATTTACTGTGTGAGATTGTCAAAAAATCATGCAAAGACTTTTTCACACAATGTGGATTGTCATGATTCTTTCTGAAGAGTATACGAGTATTTTTACTAAAGATTTGTTGGTGAATTTATAGATTCTGAATCTGAGTGCAACGTTATTTTACTGTTAAGATCAAAAACTTTTTCATTTTAGTGCAAATGAAGTTTGAAAACTATCTTCAGAACCTCCTAAATTGCTATCCAAAGTTTTTTTTCTGTAAAACAATTGTATTTTCTCTACCCTAACACTATATAGGCTCGGTTCATTTGACTGATCTTGTAACCTCCACAAAAATACAACATAAAGTTTCTTTATAGAATAACTGCATATTGTAACAGTAAATTACAATTATGTATTTTAAACAGCTTCCAGCACTATAACAGTTTATTACATTGGTTAATTTTTTATTATTGATCTTTAAACTGTCTAACTACTATACATGCATAACAAGCTAGAAATCACCCCGGCACAAACATATAGCTCAAATTATGGTATTGAGTTATGTAATGTAGGATCTTCTGGCATGCATTAAAAATATTTTTTTGTTAATATTTTCTTGTATAACCTAATTTCTGTTTTTTACAACTTATAACAATAAGTGAAAAGTATGTGTAAAAACAAGAAATTTAGTGCTTAAATGCGAGTTTAGTACTTTTTGCAATTGAAGAGTCTGTAAAATGTATCTTCAAATTTTGCTATGGTTGTTGATAGTACTTTACTGAATTTTTGTTTATTTCAAATATTCACAAAACCCAAAATAAAAACGTGCGGAAAACAAAATGTCCAGTAACTATAGTAGCTTAGGTGTTTTTATAACTAAGCTGTGAGCATGTTAAAATATTTTCCTTAGTTGGTCAGTTTGAACTCGATGATAGCAACTTTGAATCTTAAGCCGAATAATTCAAAGGCAGTCAGAAATACAAGTTAGTACTATCATTAAATTAAAATCTTCTCTTGATTGGTTATAAATAATGAAATAGCAAACATCAGAGAGTATTAATGACATTTTTTGAAAGACATTAATAGGAGGATGTTGGTTGAATGTTTTGGTTTATATCTAAGTAAAACCAGATGATTGGAGGCTATAATCCTAGATTATGTCTGAGTAATATCTCTACATTTGTAATTTGCATTAAAACTTAGTAGCTAAAATTAGGATGAAAAGATAATCTAAATTGTGTAATACAGAGCAAATAATTGTGGTACAGAAAAGGAAAGATTGAGAACTTATTTAAATATTTCCTTTGGAAATTAAGAGATTAACATTTCATGTGTTACTGCACCAGATGCATATAAATAGTGTAGGCTATTTTCTGTATACAGGAAAACAACACTTACTTGCACTCGACACATGACAGATATCTCATTAGAGTCCAGTTACCTGTTTTGAGTGGTGGTTATATACTTTATAGTATTGGTCAACAGGAAAATGTTTTAGGAACAATACACTAAAAAAAAGGGCTGGATAGAAACCTCCAAAGCATAATTAAAAAATGCTTGCTGTTTCAACATTATTAGCCAGCTATATTTCATAAACTTTTTTGAATATCCTAATGTCTTATTGAACTAAGTTTTTTTTTCCTTCCTGTAATGCAGTAAATCTTCCAACCTATCCATCAATTTAAAGTTCTTATGGCAATTATCCTTGATTCTCCTCTATTATGTCTTTTGTAAGTCAGCTGAACTTTCTTCTCATCCTTTTCATCATAAAGAAACATGCATATCTTGAATTTGTGACAATTTTTAAAAATTCCTCAGATCTCTCCTACAATACCTTTAACTCTTTGTACTAACTTACTAATGATATAAAAGTTTTCTGAGGATTGGGAATTAACATTTAATTTTTTATCTCAACATATAGCAAAACACCAAACCTAATTTTTACATTGGTAATTTTTCCCCAAGTGTTCCCGTATTTCAACTATTGTAGAGTGAAGCCATGAATCATGCTAAGTAATTCATTCATCTAGCTTAAGTGATCACTTCCAAAAGGCTAGATGAATGCTCCTTGGCACCAGCAACTGAGCTGTCAACAGAAGTTACTATTTGTATTTGGTGGACTTTTTATCCATTATGTATAACATAAGTGTATTGACTGATTTTATTTCAAGTGATAATGGACTGTCTCATTTTTTTTTAGTAAAGTCATTGTATAATGTATATGAAACAAGCTGTTCTAGAACTGTGATATAGAGCATTCAGCAAAAAAATTCTCGACTTCATTGTTGTTACTTTTCCTCAGTGTTTGGTAAAAATATATACATAAAGAAACGAGGGAATCCTTGATATCCTGGCACTTGAAATTCTTTTAGGCAGGATTTGATTAAATTAGTCTATGACACTTTTTTTTTTCCTTTTTATTAGCTATATTTTTGTGTGCCAGCAATACCAAATGTGGGTCATGCATATACTAAATTTGATTTTATTACTCATCGGGATCTCTACCAGCCTACCCTCAAATTGAAATTGTTTTAAGCAGGATTAGAATAAATTAATCTATGAGACCTTGGGCATGGTCAAGTATATAAATCGAAAGGGTTTCACCTCCCGAGTCCAAAACTATAATTAGATCTCAAGTCAGTCAAGAGTTGATGTAGGTATGAGCTAAAAGTTTGCACTTGAAAAACTTGGAACCATTCTGTGAGCTGCCATGCCACGGCTAAAAACAATTTCATATTTTCTGAACATAAATTAAAGAAACATACTGAATTACTTCCATTTGTTGCAAGATTAAAGTTACAGTTAAAATTTGTGATGTTATAAATTTTATGATATTTTTGGAATTGCCAGTTTAGGATGAAATTGATAGAAAGCAGTGAGCACTACTTGTGTCATTCTTTTTATGCAATTTTTCTGTTTGTCCACTGTGCAAATATTGCTTATTCTGATCTAGATAATATTAAGATTTACATATGCACCACCAATCTTATGAAATCAACACCTGAACACAGGTAATCCACAGAAGCGTAACATTTAACACACCTGCAAGTCTAAGTCGAATATGTCACATTTTATGACATGTTATAGTACTCTTGTTTCTGTTGTCACGTGGTGTATGTAGATCTAACATTTTTAGTTGAGTTCTTCACATCCATATTAACTCCAGTATTGTGATGAATATAAAATTCAGAATTGACTTTTTTATGTCACTATAGATTTAATGACTTTCTTGATGTCAATTTTGTTATGATGTACTATTATTACTGTATAAATATCCATAATAAATTTTAAGTTTTGGGAGTAATTAACTATTTTTGTGTTGAAACTAGTAATTTGAACCAGATATTTTAAGTGAAGCATAATATATTTGTTTCATCTGTTAAATAGTATGTTTTCTTAACAGAAAGGCAATTTGTTTGCCGATGTTTGTGAGAACAAAGAAGAATCTGATGTGAAAGCCAAAGAAAATAAGGAGGTATTTTCACAGCATGAGTTGGATCAAAAGCATGAAGAGGAAATGGCCCATGAAAACAGTGTAAAAAGTGGAAAGAAAACAGGGCTTACTAAAAAACAAGTGGTTGATACTAAAGAAGATAAAACCACCACAAAAACAGTCAAGGATTCTGCTAAAAGCATCAGTAAAACCAAGAGCTTTAAAGAAGACTCCTATTCTTCAGTAGGCCAAAAGTCAGAAGAGATTGAAGTTAGAAGAAAAGATGGTGATCGTTCACCCTCCTCTCCTGTAGTAAACCCTGACATTCCTGAATCATCTAAGTCACAGACTTGTAGGAAAAGCAGAAACAGAAGTAGAGAAAGAAACAGTAATAGACAGCATAAAAGCAGCAGTAGTGTCAGTTCAAGTAGTTCCAGAAGTAGTCGGAGTTCTTCATGTAGTAGAAGTAGCAGTCAGAGTAGTGGCCAAAGTAGCCGTAGGCACAGTAGAAGCACTAGCAGGTCTTCGTCTAGAAGCAGAAGTCCTTCTCCAAAAAGCAAACACAAAAGATCTCAAGAAAAGAAAAGAAGTAAGAAGAGTAGGAGTCGATCTATTAGTCCAGAGCAAAATGTTAACAATGTAGATTCCAAAGACAAGGTCATTACAGTTTCTCACGAGAAAAAGAAAGAACCAGAGAGTGTGGTGAATGAAAAACTATCCCCAGCTAGGTCAGTATTAGAACATTTTCAGTTATTTTTATTTTAATATTCTTTAATGAAAATAACAAACTTTTGTAATGTAATCTATTAGTACTATAGTTATTTACTTTGTAACTTGTTGTCTCTTATTCACCTAGTCTGAATAATATTTTCTTTGTGTCATTAAATGGCAGATTTGGAAGAAAACTTACCAAAGAAACCTAATTTAAAAGAGCATTTTATATAACAGGGCTAAAATCATTTTTGGTCATTGGTAAATGTTTTCCAGTTTAAGTGTTACTCACAAAAATTACATGTTTGCAAAGAGAAACCTTATTGAGATTCATACTCCTTAACACATAAATTAGTCAGTTGACAGGAATTTCTAGGGAACATCATATTTTCAATGAAATATTAAATCTGTGTGTTAAAAATTAAAAGTCTAATAAGAAATTTCAAAAAACTGTAACACTGCTTGAACACACTGTTTTTAGTTATCTTGGATAATCCAACTGAAACATGTACTGCATGAATGATATGCAACATACTATCAAAAATGACTATTGATTATCGTAGAATGTTTTTCTCCTAGAAATGTTGTGCTTGAAACCCCATGCAACCATTGGTTGTAACTGGTCTGAATATTTGTAATCATGCTTGGTTTATCAGTTAGCAAAGAAATGTCAGTGTCCTTTGATGGCCAATGGCTAAACACTAAAATTCTGTTTTGTTTTTCTTTCTAGTTAGTCATTGTAGGTATGTTGAAAGGACTGTAACTTTACAATATAGATAGTGTTCATGGGTGACCTTGTGTGGCTAAACTTCAGCCTCTATTAATCTGCAAACTTATCTGGAACTTGTTCTCAGTATTGTATTGAGTTTAATGTTAAAATTTTAAATGGTAGAAATATATTAATCAAAGACTTATTTTACAATAATTGAATTTATTCTCACCTTAACAGTTACACATTTGCTTACGAGTTTAGATCCATATTATGATCAGTCAAATATAAGTAGAAAACAACAAAGGCATAAGATTCATAAAACATTTGATATTTTGCATGACATATCTCAGTAGTAGATATGGATAGTATAAAAGTTACAAAAAAATGGGAATGTCCATTTTTTTTTACTTGTAGATATGTTATTTCATATTAACAGAGGTTTTGAAGAAAGACATTTACAGGCCACCATTATTCAGTTTCTGTTTCTTAATACCAGCAATTTAAGGGTAATATAAAGTTCAAGGATATTATGAGTATAAGATTATAATCACAATTTTATGAGTAAAAAACTTAAAGAAAAAATATTTTTCGAGCCAATATCTGTTAGACATTTGTATAGATTTATTCTCATCCTAAGGCATCTATTGATTAAAATAATTGCCATATAAAGTATGGATGAATCAGCTTTGGAAAATCATATGAATGTCAAAAAGCATGCTAAAAAATTTAATTGTAAAGGAATGTGGAACAGATTTTTGTACATTTCTGGTATTACATAAAATGTAATACATGCTCAACAAACACACCAAAATATTTATTAATTAAAAGAGGGGAAAAAAGATAACATTCATTTTGTTAAAAAAAAAGATAGTTTGACAGATCATGTTGAAATGAAGAGCAAGAGACAAATCAAGGAAGATGAGTGTATACTTTTATTAGCTGAGGAAAGCAGTTAATTGCAATTTCTGACAATCAAATAATTATCATAGAATAGCCATAGACAAAAAGATCTATGCAAACTTGTTAGAATCTAGAATATTAATATGAAAGAGAATATATGTTTGTCACTCATGAGTCATATCTGTACTACTATGGCTCTTGTTTTAAAATTCATAAACTGCTTATCTGCACGTATTCAATAATTCTGTCAGTGCCATGTCTCAAGTTATTAGTAAACTATCTCATTTAAAAGCCCTGAAGAATGTGCTGCTATCTAAAAGAATATTTAGCTTTGTAGCATGTCCAATAGGCATTTTTATGTCTTCTGTGTCATGGTAGTATGAATTTTGGTAGAATATAATTTAGGAAACGTAAATGAAGTAGTCTTGAAGAAGAGTGCGTGAAAGTCATGAAAATTTGTTTGTATGGAGGTATGAGAATCCTACATAATATATAATCTAGCTGCCTCTCAAGCTCTATTTGATTAATCACTGAGTAGCTCCAAATTTGTAAGTAAACATGAACATTCAATGAGAACAGTTAAGTATTTTGGAATATGCTATGGGTAAGAGTAGTATTTCAAGTTGTTTAAAGGTTGTAGCTGAGACCAGTGATCAATTCACTCTACATGCAGATGTGTCTAGATTTATAAAATCCTGTATTTTAAACCAATTACAAATCTGTCATATACGTTTTGGAGTGTCTTACATGTTACATTATTAATTTTTAAGTCTTGTAGCAGTAAAGCCATATTGAGCATTTTTACTAGTCAAGGAAAAATTTCTTGTTCGTTCTACAGATGATTATAGCTTGATGCTTTGCCGAGTCAGAATTATTTGATGCTCTTTGTTGTTTGTTTCTATTGTAGTAGATGTTTCTGTTAACTGTGATGCCGAGTTATTTTATACTCCTAATAGTTCATTGATTTAGGCTTTTTCAATACATTTTCTGTTATCAAAGTACCTTGCATTGAGAAAGTTTCAATATTTGCAGAGATGTTGATATCTTGGAGGTGACAGTAGATGAACAGAAAAAAGAAATCATTGAAGAAAGTATTCAAGCAAAGGTAGGTTTCATGTGGAAGATCTGATGGAATATTTTCTAATATTTAACAAATTGTCAGAAATGATACTTGTTTTTGAATTTGGCACAATTATTACAATATAATCTTCACTATCTTTACTTATTAGTCCATTGGCTTAGTGGGTGGTAGTTGATACTAGTCTGTGTAAAAATAAGTACTTGAATGAAAAATTAAAAGTTACTCAAAACATTGAAAATGTTATCTTGTGAATATAGTAAGTGACCTTTATTCTAACATAACATAAAGTACTTATTTTTCAAATTACATTGATTTTGCACTCACAGTATAACTGTAATAATTGTGTGACTTTTCATGTTTACATAGATTTAAAATATTACTTCAAATCAAAGTTTGAAAATAAAGTGCACTGCAGTATTTACCAATATTTGTCACAAAAAGTTAAAATAATGCAAATGTTAAAGTTAAGTCACAGTCAGAAAAAAATTACAAAATTACTGATCATAGATTTGGGGGCTTGGGTTTCACTCCCACTGCCACCAAACTTGTTCACCCTGTCTTTGTTATGATAAAGCTACTAAGGCTATATTACTACATGCTGACTAGATCAAAGACAACTAGCTGGCACCTGCTTCAAACTTTTCCCCCCTTTTGGACTGTTGACAAGAGAAAAGACAACTGTCTGACAAAACCTACCTCTAATCCCCCCCCCCCCTTCTTAAACTGCTGACTAGAAGGAAGGCAAGTATTCAGTAGCACCAACTACCAATTCTTCCCCTGTTGAACTGCTGACTAAAACAAAGACAGTTGGGTGACAGCACCTGTCACCAACCTTTTTTTTCTACATCTACATACCATTGTTTGAGGAGCTTTACTAATCAAGTAATGCAGTTATTGGTTAATCTATTAGAAAAATACCAGTTATCCCCCATTCTATCTATGTCTGGTTTTTTTTTAATCATCAATATTTGATTCCGGTTGTTTTAAAAGATTAGAAATTACAAATTCTCCAAGTCTTGTTTAATTGTCATTGACTAAGGATGGACTGGTTAGCCCAGATACACTGTAAATTACAAAATGATTTAATGTGATAAGGAGACTTTTATTGTAAAACAAACTGGATATTAGTGAATCTTTGAAGAAGAAATAATGGTCTTTACTTCAATTCAAAAATACTTTTAACCCACTTCAGATGGGTCATAGGTCAAAGGCCATATCATCGCATTCAAAATTTTATTGAACTAATATTTCATGAATTTATGTCAGTAAGTTTGGTATTAAACTGTATATTAAAATTAAAATTTTAGTATTCTACATTGTTTAATTTCTTGATTTAAAAGTAAATATTAAAAAAACAGATAGGAAACGTCTATTTTTGAGTGTCGCGTGGTATGTTGAATGCAAACTGGTTCAAATTAGATGTTTGTGAAGTAAAAATACTAAGTCTATAGTTTCATACAAATTAGAAACTCGCTACTGACAAGCTAGAATATAAAATAAGGTCTTATCTTTTCTGTTTGCTAAGATAGAGCTAATGTAATAAATCAAACATAGTGGCACCCCACCCACCTCTTTCCATTTTTGGAAATGCTCCCTTATATACACTTCTATATATGACATGAATAACCAATCGAAAGCTCAGAATGCTCCCCTAATGGCCTTCTTATCTATTCTAAATTCTAAGGATTCCATCTTATTCTTTCGAACCAAGATTTCAATGAGATAGGTTGTGTCTTTAGTCTGCCCAAATTTTCATATTTTTTGTAAACCTAAATACAGTTTAGTTATTATGATTGATAAATTATAGTGGAATTCTATGGTATAGTAATTTATGATTTTTTTGGTTATTCAACTGTATATATGTATATATATATATATAAAACCTAAAAAAATTATTTCGTTTCATATCCTCCAGGTGCAAAATTTTAAAAGGTTTAATGACTTACATCAAGCAGCAGCCGAGTGCAAAGATCATAACTGGAAGAGATAATTGTTTGCTTTACTTCTTTATTTACTGTTCTATGTTTTAAGAAAAATACATTTAAGGACTTATTTCTAAATAGTAATAATCTATATACATATATAACATATAATAATTGAAATGTTACTATATTTTACAAAATACTTGTCTACTGAAACACAGCCAAGACAGGTCAGTTTTATATTATTGGATATGGTAACATAAGAGCACGTGCATTGAGTCATTGTAACTTTTGTATTGTTAGCTAGGCACGGATGAAAGGTCCATATAATAAAAAATTATAAATAAATAAAAATGTATAATGTTATGAGATTTAGGCTATTTAGTCTAAACATTTATCTTTTCTTATTATAGTTTGTGTTCATTCTAGAATGA